GAAATGTGATGTTTTCTTTTTCTTGTTTGCACAGGTTAAGTTTACCTGTGGAAACAAGGTATAATCTTGTGCACACAAGACAAAAAAACATTACATGTTACAGGACTTGATTGGCTCCATATAATGCTGACGGCTTTTTGTAACATCAAGTCAACAGTGTGAGCATACAAAATGTAAGTTAAGAGCCCCAGAGCCAATGATAAACCAGGGCCAGAGGTTTGACTCTCAGTGTGTGCTCTCTTATTATCCAGTCCAACATCTTGCTTCTGCTAACCAACTTTATGCTTGTCTCAGAGGTGTTTGGATTGGAACTAAAACTTGGAATCACTTCTTCGCCCCCACTTCTTACTGAAACTTTCCTACAGCACAGTAATCCATTTCCTGAAGCGAGTTGGCAGATGTGATTATGTTGGAAAGAGATTTGTCATTTTAAAACCTCTGTTCACATGTATAGATTTGATCTACTGCAAGGCATCCAGTGGATCATTTAGAGGCTGTTGTGTTGTGATACCTGTTAGCTGAGTCTGGAGGGGTTCACATTCACATTCTGTGAAACAAACAGCACATGCCACAAGTCAGTGCAGACAGTCCATCTGTTTGTGTAAGGAGAATTCATGTCTGGAATTTGGTTCTCTTGGTTCAGCTGGTGCATTTTCCTCCCGCAGGATATTATAATGTGGTGCATTAAATACAGCGTAAAAACGACCCTACCAAAAACTAATTGGAAGCTCCCAATTTCCAATAAATTCACAGTGTGAGAGCGCTCTCTCTGCCTCTTTCTCACACTCCGATGTTGATAATGATGGAGATGATGCAACATATAAAGCAGAGTCGAGGGTGGTCTCTACTGTGCTAGTGTTTAACATCAATACATGCAAGATGCAGTCATTATTATTCAATAGTGACGTATTACGGAAACTAAACAAGAAAATGCCTCACAATACCATCCCCTGTTCTGGCCTTTCCTCTGTGTTATTGATGGGTGGTGGAACATTTAATGAACTGCTCTCCAGTAGAAACATTAATGAGGTGTGCTTCTAAGAAAATAACCAGACCTCGATTTTCAAGTTTGAAGCTATATTAAAAGTTGTAGAGAAAGTGAAAAATCTCTCACATCATAATGTCAATTAATATAATGCCTGGGAAATTGGAAAATGACCTCATTGAGAGTACATATATTTTGATTTATTTGTTTTTCAAATGAGCTCAAAATCAGTTTAAAGGAATTCTTCGTTCAAAAATGTAATTTGCCACCCCCCCTCCACTAAAAAGTAAAATGTTTAAAATATAGCCACAGGCCAATTATGTAACCTTTAAAGGGGCCCTATTCTGCTTGTGGGGGGTTTCCCTCTCCTGTAGTGTTTTCCATAGGTTTTAGTGCATGTAAATGGTATGCGAAGACTAAAATCACTGTGTTCCTTCCAGAGGGAGTTTCCCTGAAAAGAAAGAGCTTTTTGAACATGAAATCATGGAAATCATGTCACAGAAGAGGAACAAACATGAACCTAAAAAGGAGCATCATAGAACCCCTTTAAGCTTGAAGACATAACATTTGTGGCATATAATGTTAGAAATAATTGTATAAAACTGTGACATAGCAGTCACTTGTTTAGAATAAGGAGGCTAAAACAAACTTCACCGGCTGTGTGTTGACTAACATTGTGTTCATAATTAATTGCAGCTGGTTTTTCTCTCTTGAAATACAGCTGTTGCTCTGTGAGTGTGTGTCATCAGTGGGGGACGCAGAGAGAAGACTTCTCACAGTCTCCGTGTTTTGGCAGCTTCATGACTCTGGTTTACAGACTTTTATAGACGGCCTCACCATGGAAAACTTATATAAGTAGGACAGACATTTCCCCACTAAAGTATATAACGTTAATTATGTTTTTATACCCTGCAGTATCACTACAGGGGGTTCCTGAGGTGTATCATGTTTGACAAATAGTAGCTACACTATCAAATAAAGTTTAACTGCAGTAGTTGTACAGTGTTACTGCATTAGTCATAGTGGGTTTAAAACCATTGTTTTATCTGAAGGTACTACTAAACAGACTTCATTAGTAATCCAGATGTTGGCATTTGATGGACTTTCTGCGGTAAGCAGGTCTGGAATTTGTAGAAGTGTCTCAAATGCGAAACATGTGGGTTTGGTTAAACATGTGAGGGCTGCTACAGAAATCAGCTGACCATCTCCTGTGTCTCAGGAGTCTGTCTATATTTGTCTCTGTTTTGAGTTAATGGATGGTAAACGTAAACATAATTCATGCAGTGACATTTATCATGAATGTTTTTTAGTACCTATATTTAGTACCTATATGGTGATGACTTCTCTTCCCTGTCACTGTGCACTGTTGTTCAGACAGGTGGGGGGTGCTGGCTGGGGGTAGGGAGGGTGGGGGTGCACTGATGGTTGGCATGTTATTGTTCCAGTGTTGTGATAATAAGTGCTTGTGGTCATAGCTGTCTGTGAATGTGAAGGTTGTTGCTCTCTGTGTCTCTACCTCTCATCCTGGGAGAGGAGAAGTGAGTGGTATCCACACTCCAAATAATTGTGGATTTGAAGTGTTTTCACATATATGTTGCAGTTTGGATTTGGTGTTCTTTTGAAGAGGACATATTCTGCTCATCTTCAGGTTCATATTAGTATGTAGTGTCTCTACTGGGACATGTCTCCATGCTTTAATGTTCAAAAAGCTCTTTATTTTTCTCATACTGCTGATACAGCATTCCAACTATCTGTTCTTCGACGCACGAAATTCTTTATTATTCCGCCGGGTTATTTTGCGCCTCTTCTGCTCCCACATTCCACATCGCAGAAACTCCGTTCAAACATCAAAACGTTCAGCTCGGTTGGGAATCGATGGCTATTACTTTTCTCATTCATAACTTTCATAATTCCAGAGATATATCCCATAATTCATCACATTTCTAACATGGAAGTCAATGGAGAAACTCTTCAGACTTGAAAAATCTTCATGCGACTTCAACTGCTAACTGTTCATTCATACTTTCACTCAGAAACCTCATTCCAACTTTAAAATGTTACACATCTTTCTGACATTATTCGTGTAACACAACTTTTAAATCTGATTCATACTTTTAGAGATATTAAACATTGTTCAGACCTTGGTACAGAGGCCTTCTTCAGATTTTAGAGTGCGTGATGTCACAGCTAGAGTGGAGGACAGCTTGAAATGTGCCTTCATATTTTCTTTTAAACCTGCCATAATTCCCAAACCCTACACTCCTGAGACATAATTTTTCATGAGAAACGTAGGAAAACATCTCGTAGCTTGAAAAAATTAAGCAAAAATAATTAAACAAAATGCCTCTTGAGGGCATGAAGTGACAAAAACGTTCAACATGTCTCCATTAAACCCCGTTGTAAGTTCAGCCTCATCTTTCCCCACCACAGCAGCCGCACACCTTTAATTAATCTGCCAAAAAGGCCACATTATGAACCCGAAAGTACACAAAAAGTACACTTCAGATGCTCAAGTTCCTTGACATGCTTCACGCTTTGAAATTTCACCGATATCTGTTACGGTTCTTCAACAAAACGTTCACATGTAAGAGGTTTATCTCTCATTCAGAACAATGCAAATGCTCTCCTCTCACTGATTACTGCACATCACCACGGAAACCTTTGATCTCTGGACACGTCGTTAGCTCAAATATAAACACCTGTGTCATGGAACACGATGATGTCATAACTCCAACTGACAGCAGACTTCAGATAATGGTTAATGGTCCTGCCCTCAACAGCTCTACGTCAATTATGGGGTGTCATCATATCCCTCGCCATAAAACATGATGTCGCTGTAACTCCAATGTAACACGGTCCGATCGTCCCCAAAACTTCGCTTGTATATCACCGGTCCATGCCTCAACAGCTCTATGCCAAATCTGAGATCTCACCATAGGCTGTTTCCATGGAAACGCATCCCTCGCCAAAAAACACGATGTTGTCGTAACTGATATGAAAATGGTCAAAACACCACCAGACTTCAGATGACAGTTAATGGTCCAGCCCTCAACATGTCTATGTGCCATTAGTGAGTTTTCCTCAAAAGCTGTTGCCATGGCAACGAATCCCTTGCAATAAAACACGATATCGCTATAACTCCTATGAAAATTGTCAAAAAGTGCTACAACTTCACATGTGTGCTAACAGTCCAGCCGTGAAGACATCTACGGGACAGTTTTGAGATTTCTTCAAATGCCGTTGCCATGGCAACACAATGCTCGCCATGAAACACGGTTTTCTCATAACTTCAGTGAAAATGCTCCAAACAGCCCAAAACTTCACAGGTTTGGTAACAATGCAGCCATCAACATATCTAAGCGTATTATGGGGTGTCATCAAATAACGTTGCCATGGCGACAGATCATTCGCCATCAAGTTAGTTCAATAGTTTGCAGTTCAAATATTCTGCTGCTTTTCCAAGCCTTTTTACTTTCTTTTCTTCTCTTATCAAACATTCAAGCCCCCAGTGTTCATGTATCATTTCAATCTAAATTCTTCACTTTCTTCTTACACATTACATTTCAGCATAGCAATTCAGCGTCAGCTTTTCAGCAAAAAGCATTCCCACTAGCAATTTCTTCAGGAATTGCATTCTCTAGTTGACTCCAATACTTGTTGGCCAAAGCCTTTCAAAAAAGTAACATTTTCATCAAATGCAGTACACAATTTCAAATGTGAACCAAGATCAGCTTTACCTGCTTAATGGAAGTGAGGATGTGAGTTTCTGCAGCCATAATGACTATTCCCCTGAAAGTTTAAATGATGCTATTGGATAACACTTATGCTGTAATAAAACTGAATTTGGCTTGAAGCATAAAGCACTGATATAAAAGTAGAAAATAAAGGGCCTGCCAAACACAAACATGTGTCTTTTCTTTTTGTGTGTGCTCTGTAGGGTGTTTTGATCATGCTTTTGTGCATTCCACCCCTTCTCAATACAATCTACTGACCTGTCTGTCTCTGTGTATTTCAGAGCAGTCTGCAGTGGGGTATGAAGGCGTCTTTAGAGCAGCAGGTGGCAGAGCTGAAGGTCAACACGGAGGTCCACTCAACAGGTTCCCCTACTGACCCACGGGAGGAAAGCCAACTGATTTCAGGTAACAATAACCACCTTTGCTTCTCCCTGAAAGACGTTTCTAGTGAAAAGTACATGCAATTTTGATGATGGACACTACCTAAGCTTATTTAATTATTTGTATGTATTTATTTACCATGGACAGTGCACATTAATATACAATATTGTAAAGGTGCCAGTTAGCCAAGAGGTTATTTTTCCTCTGTACAGACATACAACATAGCAAAATTGTCTTCTATACTTTGTAACTGTTATATAACTCAATTGTGTGCATATCGTAGTCTATTTTCTCTGTGTGCAGAATACAGAACAAATCTCCTTCAAATCTTAATGGATTATTCACTCTTTTTTTGTCTAATGCTAACTTAATTAAAAAGTCTGCCTGAGCTCAATGCTGTAGACACTGGGGTCATTATGGATGCAGTTTAGTGCCCGGTAAACAAACATCAAGCAGACAAATATATGACACATCCTCAGTGGCTAAGTGTCCTCCCTCACTGAAGTTTCACCACATCTAAGCCCATAATTCATGTCGGTGAAGAAGATGAGACCCATATCTGAGCACATTGGGATTTAAAACGACAAACAATGCTGTCTGTTGTACCACAGAAGCAGTCATCTCATTCTGCACGTCCATAAATAAACTTCTCCTGTGTCTGCTAGGCCAACAAAGAACATTCTCAAACATTTGTTTGGGAATTTTGAAAGAAAATGTATTTCTCCTGTGTAGCAACTAGCAAGTGAAGAGTCTTCGGTTATTATGTTTGGAACAGAACTAAAAAAGTATTCATGAAACTGGTACATCATGTAATATTGAGACTTTAGCCCAGGGTCAGTGTTGCATGTTTTTGTAGGTTAAAGGTGCAATATGTAAGATCGTTATCAACAAAATGTAAAGAGGTCCAAGACGTGTATGTATTGCATTGCAGATATATGTACTGAAATAGGCATGCCTCCACAATAACACAATAAACAAACTAACATAAAGCATGGAGCATACAGCCACTGGTAAAAGTCAATTCCAGGGAAACACACAAGGCCCACGCCACATCTGAAGATTAGAAAATATTGACTGGCTCTCTTAGTTTTAGCACTTTATTAGAAGTGTGCATATTCGTGCCCTTCTTGTAAACAATTGATGACTTGAAATGTATACCTTCATTTGTATGCAGATAGTAATTGAAGTGAAATGCTGCCCACGGGCGGCTCGGAACTACACATTGCATCTTTAATCACAAATACATCATTTGTAAATGCAAATGATGGCATCCACTTTTTATGAGTCAGAAAATGTGTATACAGTAGTAGAATTAACAATATAATTTAAATAAATAAAAACTCATCATGCTTCGTTTGAAGGTTTGTTGTTGTTATTGGATTTCTCCCTCCATCATTTCTATTTAAATACCAAACTTCCTCTCAAGAAAGAGTACTGTATATGAAGTTATGATTCATCGATGTGTTGAAGTACCAGGTTGATACAGATTTGCCTTCCAATTAAAGTAGTCATATGTTTATGTGTTTTGTACAGACTGTCTGTACGGCTCCTTCACTCAGCCACCTCTCCATTAGTGCATGTCTATCTGTTTGTGCATGTGTGTGTCTATTTTGGGCCTATGTGTGCCGTAAATAACACCAGAGTGGATAACTGAATCCCCCCTCAAATTAATAAAGGTGATCTTAAAAGGAAGGATGATTCTGATAACTTTCTTTGCCTTTTCTCTGTTTACCAGGAGAGGTTCTTGCAGCCCGTAAAAATGGATCTCCTCAATCAAATTACCATCCTTTGGTCCCTCGATCCCTATCAGCACCTGAGGGGACAGGGGAGACAGAGAGGGGGGAGACATGGCTGCCAGACTCATCAAGATGGGCCACGGTTAATGATGCTCTGGGGCAGATGAAGGATGTTGACCCGAGTCAGGAAGATTATCAACAAGCACAAAAAGTTGAGACCTATATATTTGGATTGGTCCAACGCAGAGTTCTACCCTCGCGTTCCTCAAAACCCCGAACCAGTTTGGCCCATGATCCCCGAGCTGCTAGTGTGGTGAGGCAGAGTAGTTTATGCCGCAATCAGGAGCAACATTCAGCGAAGCAGGTGTCTGTTCAAGAGATCACTTCTCCATCCCAGAGTACAGAGGCTCCACAGGATTGCCATAACTTCGACCAGGAGCCTTACCTAGGGACAGGGTTTACTGAAGATGCCCCACCCCCGTACCACCAGCATCTACAGCCCAGTATCCAGCATCAAGCAGGACTTTATCACAGGTCAAGACAGACATCCATGATTAACACCTCCCGCTCAACATTGCTGGACTATCCAGCCTGCAGAGTGCTTCAACCACACCCAGACTCCAGCAACAGCGAACCCGAGTCACCGCAACATTTTCACAACTACCCTTCTCCTCCAGCTCTGTCAAAGCCTCATCAGCCACCTGATGAGCAGCTGGTCAATGCAGAGTATATCCCAGCCCAGCCTTGCCGAGCCTCCACCAGAGCGTATGCCCATCATCATTCAAACCCCCATAAGGCGTCCGTGGTGCCTAAACCCAATCGAACCACCTATTCTCCAGAAAGAAGCCATCATCATCAAGAGCAGCCGCCCACAGCATCCCAGATTCAACCCTCCAGATCTAGAGCGGGCCCAAAGAAGTGTCGCTCGAATGAAGACAGAAATGGGGCCAGCAGGAAGCCAGGGAAGAAGGCATGTAGGTCTCAGTCAGAGAACAGCCTGCAAAGGGTTCCAGAACGCAAGTACAACACAGTGGAGAGGGACGGTGGAGGAAGTGGAAGCGGTGGAAGGGGAAGCCGCAGTAGTCAATCAAGGAGCAAGAAACAACAGCAAGGAGGGGGGGGGCTGTCGGCGCTGGCAGTCCACCCTGGAACTCAGCCAAGACGAGGCTGAGCAGCCACCCATGCAGGCACCCATGCAAGGCTCTTCAGCTTCAAACCAAAGGGACCCTTGTGCAAGGCGAACGCGCAAATCTCGCCCCACTCATGCAGCGCATGTCTACCCACACCCCCCCCACTCCCACCATCATCAGCATATGGAGTACCAGATAGAGAGGGACCTAGTGCCGCTGTGTCCGCCTACTGAGGGCTACCCTCACCCCCGTCAGGGAGAGTCTGAGTCCAGCATGAGCGAGGCAGACTCTCCTGATTCCAGTACTTTGTCCAGTGACTCAGATGAGAGTGGTGGTCTGGTTTGGCCTCAACAACTACCCCCACAACTTTCCGTCCCATCACCCTCTGCCCAACCAGGGGCACCTCTGCAGCCCAAGGCTTTTGTCAAGATTAAGGCCTCACATGCCCTTAAGAAGAAGATCCTGCGCTTCCGCACTGGCTCATTGAAAGTAATGACCACTGTATAAAGTGACATGATGATCAGACAGAACTGAGCTTTGAAATATATAGAACAATGCATCACAGACATTACTGTGTTCATTTGAGTGTAACAAACGTGGTTATAAAATCGAAAGGATGTTTTAGATGACAAGAAATGAAGTAAATGGCCATTATCATATCAGCTGTTTTTTTTTTTTTAATGGGATGTTAAATGCTATTTCAGTGTTACATTTTGCTAAAACTCTAGGATGATTCATGCTTTGTCAAAGTGTACCATATTTGGCCATATTGGCCCCCTGAATATCTCCAGACACGACAGTCACCATAACCCATGCTGGCATTGTCTTTGAGCTCAGCCCAATACACCTACCATTATAAGAGACACTGGGCCTCATTCAAGAATGTTTTGTGTCCTGAAATATTGGTACATTGTAGGGCTTGTTCCTAGTGGAGTCAGATCCACCAAACATGCTTAACCACACACATCTGACAAATGCCACCTGTTGTTGAGGGGTTCAGTGAGATTGTATCACTAGCGTAACCAACACTTTGCTATGTACAGGTAGGTTTCAAATAATATGCTGCCAGGTTTTCAACCTCCTTTCAAAGAAGGACCCTTTCTTAGGAAAACTGTTACAAACAGTTCGATTTTATTAGGACTGAAAAATCCTCTTTTGTTGTTGAAATAATGCAAAGCCGTTATTATTGAATTATTAAGTCATATTGTAATTAAATAGGAACATATCTCAAGACAAACAACCAAAGGTTAGTGCTTTCTACATGTTTTCTTCATTTACCCACAGCCAATAAATAAACTGTGGGTGGTAGTAAATACATCTGTTAGGCACACAGAGAAGTGATTGCAGTAAATAAATAATTGTTGTGTAAGAGAGGATTGTTACTACAGTACAAAGTGTGTGTGAGACATTTTGTCTGGAACTGTGTGGCTTTTGACTGAAAATAAGTATATAAATCTTCAACATTTTACTGTAGGAGCTGTCAGAAACAAACAAGACACCACAGCAACAAGTGTTATATTGTCTTTGAAATGTTTTGGAGGGATCAAATGTCAAACTAACAAAGTCAAGTATTCTTAAAAAGAGCATTTTAATGTTATACAGTATAGCAAATTGCAGTTCTTATTGTATAAAGTTAATATGAGGGTACTTGAGCAAATGAAATGTGTCTGTGCCCAAAGAATGTAATGTTATTAAGTCACTTTCACTATTTGACAGTATTATAATTTTAAGTGCACTCGCCAACTAACTATTAGCTTCTCTTTGTATGAAATGTGTTTGACAAAATGCAGTATATGATATTAAAGTGTTTGTGAAAAACTAAAATGTCTACTTTTATTCTACCAAGACTTTGCTTCTGTACAACCACCAGTAGTTTTATCATTGGAGGCTTTTGTTAAGGCATCATGGTGTTCAAATGGCCAGCTAACATTAATGTTGCCAGGAATACCACATTGCACAGGAGGGGGCACTTTTATCCTGTCATAGGCCATTTAGTATTGGTCTTTCAAATAACAAAAACATCTCTCTCAGAATGACATGTCTCTCAACAGTATGACATGTCTAGTTCTATTGACATAGTTGCCAAAAGCTTGGTTCCTCCTGAGGCATGTCTTTGGTGTTTATATTGGCTAAACTACTTGGAAAGGTCAGCATATCTGTTTTGGCTAGCCTCCGGGTCCACTTTGGCCCAGTAAGCACAAACAATGTGATCAATCCCCAACCAGTGTCAGCATTGTATGGGATCGTCTAGTGCTCAGTTCTGTGGATGCACTTGTTTCAGTTTATACACAGTCAGTGCCAGCAAATGCTGTTCTTCACAACTTATATATTGTGATAGGAAGATCTGCCTTTTGCCTTCTTGGCTAGATGTTCTCTTAATGGTTCATGCCAATAGTATAGGGTGGGTTGGTTGTATAACTCTTTAAAATAACTGGTAACTGTAGTCTTTTTTTGGGTCTTTCTTTCTGGACTCTTTCACTTTTGAGTACTGCTCCTTAAGTCTCTAAAACTGTAATGGTTGGGTATTATGAGAAATCAAGATGCTCATAACTGATAGACTGACCAATTAAATCAACAAATACAGGGGTACAGGAAACATTTATCAAATGTTGGGCAAAAAACTGGCCTGTTCGCTCACAGCCACTACTTACCCAATTATTTTGTTATATATATATTTTATTATATAATTAATGGACATTCCAACTCCCCTTTAGGGCCCCTGGGTTTTAGCACAGGAAAGCCTGTGCATTGAATTGCCACTGAGCACACCATGACAAAGTTATAGAAAACACACCCTCACACACACTCACCCGTCAGCAGCCCTGGTGTTAGTGATGACTGTTGAGTGATTGAAAAGTGTGGAAGAGAGAGAGTGGGGGAGGTGACAGTGAGAGGAGGGATTAAGTGGAAAGTTAAGAACTCAAAGGGAACATTGGCTTGTTTGAGAGTAATGTCGCCAATGTCCCCCTGTTACCAACAGCACAGAAGAAGAACAGTGGAGTGAGCTAGTAAATGTAACTGGTCCTTTGGATGATCCCTGAGACTCTATTGTGATTTACTGCATTCATAGGGTTAGTTCTGTTTCTATGAGTACAACTACTGCTACTACAGCTGCCAGTACTTTCACAAATGCTACTACTTTTTATTATTACTACTGCTGATATAACTTTACTATTTCTATACATTTGGTAATAGCATGTTTGCGTACTATTACTACTGTTAGTAATACTTTTACTTATATTACTGTTGGGAAAATACTGAATGTTCCTTCTATATCAGATTATTACATGGTTTAGTTGAATACTCGATTCTGATTGGTCAATTCAGAACACGTGACACGTTGTTAATCCAGAACAGACAGACCGCTGTCAAGGACTTATTGACCGTTGTTAAGGACGCTCACATCTGCACAAAGAAGTCCGGTCGATTTATCTGTATACAGTTTGGCTGAATGCAGATCTAGATCCCTCCGCTTCGCGTCGGGCTCCTGATCAGCCTGTCCGTGTTCTTTTCCCCATAATGACCGCGTCGCTGCACATTATCCCTTACGTAGCACATGATAACAGAGGCCCTACGTAGCTGTGTACGTAGCCGGATGTATGACTACATGGATGACGCTCATGAGACACTGTGTTGAAGTTATGATAGCTATGCTCCTAAGATTGGCATGATGACACAGCCCTGCCTAGAGAGATAGGCATATGACTGTCATGTGTATTGCTTACGGAGGCCTTAGCTAATCTTAACCAATGTCAGAATACTGCTGTGAACCGGTATTCTTCCATCTCCATCAGTATTTTTAAGCAGAGGTCAATCATTTGTACGACCCTCAGAGGATGTTGAAAAAATTGAAATGGCCCTTGAGAGGAAAAAGGTTCCCCACCCCTGCTATAGTTTTGTGGACCACCGACCAAGCTGTCGTTCTTTCAGTGTAGTGCCAATAAACTAAACATTATAGACAAGTAATTGAGCTCCTATAGGGTTAGGGTTAGGTTGAGTGTGTGTGTGTGTGTGTGTGTGTGTGTGTGTGTGTGTGTGTGTGTGTGTGTGTGTGTGTGTGTGTGTGTGTGTGTGTGTGTGTGTGTGTGTGTGTGTGTGTGTGTGTGTGTGTGTGTGTGTGTGTGTGTGTGTGTGTGTGTGTGTATTCAGTAGTTGCCTTAGTTCATTGGAGAAGGAAAGGAAGAAAGGAGAGGCAAAAGAGGACAGGAAGGAGGAATGGGTTCATTTAAGCTCTGCTCCGATGGGAAATAACAAAAACGGTCTCTTCTGCAACATTTGAAGCTCTTTATCATCTCACAATCTACCTCAGTATTACCAACATTTCTCCAGCCGCTCTCATACTCACTCTCATATCCATCCCTTCCCTCTCCATCCCTCCATCTGTTAGTGGTTAACAGAAACATGCTCCCTCCAGGGCCAGGAACCTGCAGTATTTCCTGCTCTGCCAGAGAGCAAGGGGGAGCAAGGCAAGAGAGGAGGAGGAGACAAAGGGGAGAACAGAGAGGCACTGAGCCTGAGGAGGAAACCCACACAGAGAAAAAGAAACAGAGAGACGTTGAGAGAAGGAGGGAGGGAGGTTGAAGGGAGGCCTCGTGTGCATACATCTGGCTTCCATTAGCCGACAGAGAGGGTGATGGGGAGAGAGAGGAGACAGAGGGGCTTTTATTTTTGGCACTTTTGGGGATACAGAGTGATTGACCTATTTTGTTTTCCTCCATCCTCTTTGATTTTTCCTTACTTCTATCCAGTTCATCCACATTTCAAATATATGAAACCAACATTATTCATCTGCTGTCTCTAGACAAACAATCAGCAAGGCAGTTTAAGGCGCGGCACATTTTATTCTCTGTCATGTTGTTTTTTCTTTCTCTGCTACAATCCCCTCTGTTTCTTGTGGAATGTCAGTGCCAAACACCACCCCAAATGATCAGACTAAGAAAAGCATGTCTGCTCAAATATAATGAAGAGTAACCACAACTACTAAATATATACAGAGTGTTCGTAATTTCATTTTGTTTAGATGAAGAGATCAGGTCGATATCAAAAAGGTTCAAGGAAACATAATTGTATAAGCAAAAAGTGCACTAAAAAAATGGAAGCGTTGACTATAATTAAATCTATTATGGAAACAAATGACACATTCGTATTAGATACAGAGATTACACATGTCAACAGATTACACACAATTGTATTAGGTCAGTTGAAAGCAATAATATTAAGTTAAAATAAAGACATTAGATTCAACTTAATATTATTGCTTTCAACTGTAATACAATTGTGTGTAATCGGTTGACATAATACATTTAATTAAATTAATTGTTTCATTTTTTTAATGTGTCAATAATTAAACAGAAACCTTACCTCTTTTGAAAACGGTCATTTGTATAGAATTTGTAGAGCAAGGAAATGTTTCTGTTTCTTTTTCACCCTGTTCTGCACGGAGAGATTCTCTGTTCCCTCTCAGCATCTTTGGGGATTCTGCTTTTGGATTGCTATTGATCATAACAAGTACATTTGAGGTCCAGTTTGGGAAGAGATCTTATATATTTGCATGTGGGCAGAGTAGCAGTATCTGACTTTCCCACGTGGGTCCAAGCAGTCTTCCTCTCACAGTTTAGACCACAGCAGTCGATGCAGTCTGATGTTTAGTCTAGCATTTATATAAAAACAAGTCTTGAGGCGATGGAAACCATCAGAGACAACATTTGCAAAAAAAAGAGACTCAGTGTCAACGTTGTTTCTCCAATCCCTGGGAAATGTCAAGCAGCCCCTGATATCTTCTCCCCAGGGGCCCCCTTACCCCCAGGCTTTAAATCCAACTCCGATAACTTTGAGACAGACGGGAGAATGTCATGTATATCTTACATTACAAATGTTCAGCATTTGTGCAACAAAGGCACATTTCCGGCTGAAAGTCAGCCACAGTATTTGTCTATAAGGGGGAAAAAATCTATCTTTCATAATTTTATATTCATAAACACACAGCCTCTCTGTCAGTGTCTCTTATGTGTGAAGGGAGCTTTTTAAATTTCTGCTGACTGAGGAGATATCACCATGTTGTTCTCCAGAACTACAAAAAAATGCTGACTGTGTAAGAGCAGCCATGACAAGAAATCGGGCCCCCTACTCGAACTGCGCCCATCATTTAACGTTCACTTTCTTTTGATCTCAACTGCACATCTGTAAAGTCTTCTGACTGCATCTTTCATGGTTGCTTCCTTCACTCAGTCCAAAATCTGTTAACACACACACAGACACTCACACACAGACACTCACACACAGACACTCACACACAGACACTCACACACAGACACTCACACACAGACACTCACACACAGACACTCACACACAGACACTCACACACAGACACTCACACACAGACACTCACACAGACACTCACACACAGACACTCACACACAGACACTCACACACAGACACTCACACACAGACACTCACACAGACACTCACACACAGACACTCACACACAGACACTCACACACAGACACTCACACACAGACACTCACACACAGACACTCACACACAGACACTCACACACAGACACTCACACACAGACACTCACACACAGACACTCACACACAGACACTCACACAGACACTCACACACAGACACTCACACAGACACTCACACACAGACACTCACACACAGACACTCACACACAGACACTCACACTCATTGCTCCAAAAAGGACAATCTTTAAACGCAACCTTTATTTAGATTTCACCTACACATCTGTAAAGATTCATGACTGCATCTTGGATGCCACAAAAATATTTCCACAAACACAA